TTGTCTCATCTCTGGACGGGACGCACGGAGTTTGAAGTTGTGCGAAGGCGACAGTGAACTCGTGAAAGGCCTTGAGTCTCTATAGCCGGTCTTGTCTGTGCAGGAACTCAAGTGCTTCTGTATAGATTCTCTGGCTACTTTTCCACTTTTAATGCTAATGACACAGACCTCCTGAAGCCTGGCCGCTCGGAGGGTGATCCTTAGGATCCGTATTTCTTCGCTGCTCATGTATGCCCGTTATTTCTGAACTAGCTTACCCTATTTTAAATCCCAGCATAGCTGGGAGGGGAGTGCAAATGCTCACAGAGCATACCTGGCTAGTGTTGGGCAGAGACAGAGCTTGGAACATACCAGGCTAGTGTGGTGGACGGAGATCCAGCACCTTGCACACCAAGGTCGAACAGTTCATTGCACACTGAGGCCTTTTTGGCATCGAGAAAGGGACCGCGCCTTGGAAATCAGTAAGGGTAACTATACGTATAACCCCAATTAAGGGACTTATAGCCTTACTTACTAAGTCCCATGATCCTCCCAGTATAAGCCCCAAAAAGGCGCCATTTTTGGGCTCGGGAGCTGTTTTTGCTCCTCGACAAGTAGACTTTAGGGAAGGGCATGTCCTAGAGGGCGGAGAACGTGGGGGTTTCCAAAAATAGGGGACCCTAATATAGTACCCTAAATAGTAGGATCCTTATTTTTAGGGCCCGGGCCGCAAAATATGGTACCCCTTATTTTCAGAAACTCCCATGTGTCGCATGGCCGGAGCCACTCAGTTGACCCGCACGAGTTCCGAATTTAGAAAGTTATATGGGCCCATGTGTCTAGAGTTTCCCAGATCTCTCGGTCAGGCCTGGCGATGGCCTCTAAACCCTAAACCCTAAACCCTAAACTGAGGAGGGTAGCTTCTTCTTGCCTCTTATCGTGTTCAAAGATTTCAATCAGCAGGACTGTGGCGCCACGGGCAGCGAGCGCTTCAGCGACGCTCCGACGGGAGCCAGGTGTGAGGGATTTAGACCCGTTTCGGCCTGTTGGGTTTTTGGCGGTTGAGGGTTACGGGTACACGCAATGCCCGGGCTGAAGTGGTGGCGGAGCGGGGGGCAGAAAACGACGCATCAGTGTTTCCTCGCAGGGTTTAGGCTTACACACCACAATGCTGGGGAGCGCCCGTGCCAAGCTTCGCCGATTGTGACGGGCATGGGACCTCCGCAAGGGGCGTTTGCGAACTCGTTTGTTGGCAGCGAGCGAGAATTTAAAGAGCGGCACGTGGTGCTGCTGGGAGACAAGACTCACCTGGATGCATTGAACAAAGGCAGCTTTGGGCACCCAGAGATTTGCCACAAGCCCTGCCAGTTCTTCAGCATCGGGCAATGTGAGACTGGGTTCTTGTTAAGGGATTTAATTTGAGTTACCATAATCAGGAAACCATATCATTTACTATAGATCCCTATTATGGTAACTTAAATTAAATCCCTTAACAAGAACCCAGGAGATGGGGCGTTTATGTGGCTACTGCCACATGCCGCACACGACACCTCCGGTGTTGCTGGAGCGAAAGGGAAGAGGTAGACTGGCAAAGCTGCCTCCGGATCGGTTGCTGGACATCTTCCTCCCGATCCTTTGTCATGGTTGGGTAACATTTTACATTTTTAAGGGTACTCAAACCCAATAAGGAACACAGATTTACATTTTTAATACTACCCCAACCATGAACTAGGATCCTTTTCGAGCGTGCCGAAGCCTGCGAGCTCCAGATGGAGGTCGCCCCGCTCTTGGCGAAGCTCGCACAGCTTG